ATAGATAGATAGATAGATAGATAGATATAGTTATAGATAGATAGATAGATATAGATATAGGTAGATAGATATAGATATATAGATATAGATAGATATAGATATATGGATTATGTAGAAAGAAACTTCTGAAATACTCCTTGAATTAAAATTAGTCCTCTAAAGCTCTGACTTATCTTGACAAATGACTGCTGCAAATAACCCTTTTTATACTCGAGTTCAATGGGCCACCTAGAAGTTAAACTTTCCTGTCACTGTCCTTTACTTGTTTGTATTTCATCATAAGATAATGCTAAACTACATGGGCTTTAGCAGTAGAGGGCCTATGCTTAAGCCCCAGTTTCTAGGGTGTTACTACACCTTAGTAAATTATAGTTTCTATACCTTAGTGTAAATTATAGTTTTTACACCTTAGTGTTATCAGTTATAAAATAGGGAAGTACCTAGCAACTATTATTGTAGGATATTTTTAAAGATTAATGCTTTGTAAGTTTCAAATTACGTATCTCTTGAAGTTAGGCAACTTATATTTGTATAGGTGCAAAGGCGTGATACCTTTCCTCACCTACCTATAATAAAAGATTGGTTAAAAGAAGAAAAATCTAATGACTAGATTTAACCCAAGTTTTACACAACATGGTTGCCCTCCCAGGTGCAGAGCCAAAGACCTTGTGAAAGCTGATTTTAGTTGTAAATTTGAAGACAACTTGGTAGCATGTAGAAAAGTGATTGGATAAAAAGGGTATGATCTAAGGACAGTGTCCTGAGAGGCCGACTTGAAAGTCTTGTCTGTGTAGACTCTTCTTTTGTTCTCTGTGTAGCATTCTTTCTCCCAGCCAGAGAGGAGGGGCCCTCTGGAATAACAATCTTCTGTGAAAAGGGAGAGGTGAACTTTCTTACTCACTTAAGCTGGCTTTTGGGAAAAGAAGTTCTAGTACCAACGGGCAACCTTCAGTAATCTGTGGAACTCTGGGTGCTACAACTCTTTTCAGGGAAGAAGGAGAAAGACACAAGAGAACAGAAGGTCATGGAAAAACTCTGCTTGTGGTGTCTTCTGGTCTTCTTCAGTTCAGGGCACTCAACCTGCCAAAGTGCTGTCCTGTGCAGTATTTGAGCCCCAGCTCATCTTCTTCTCCTCAAATACAAAATAAGTTGGGGCTGGGGAAATGGCTCAGTAGAATAAGTGCTTGCCTAGCAAGTGCGAGGGCCTGAGTTCAATCCCTGGTTTCTCAAAAAAAAAAAAAAAAAAAGAAAACAAAAAAGTTAAGTCAGAATATTTGAGGTAAATATTCAAAGACTCATAACATATTTTTGTACAAAAATATAAAGCATATATAATTGGTAGTCAAAATGGATAAATACAGGTAGATAATTAGGTCATAGATGGTACTTCTTTCCCCTGTACTAAATCTAAAGTTTTACAGAAAAAGAGTTATAAATAAATAATTATTGAATACAGGCAAAATTTTTATTTATAATATAATAAATATGGATTTAAGTAGGCTAAATGTAAAAGCAGTGCTTACAAAATGTGCATTTCACATCATTTGTTAAAAAAAAAAAATCTATGGTTCCCTTAGAACAACTGCCTCCTCCAAATTCTAGTGAGGTGCAAATTTTGTGGAAGTAGGTCAGGGCGCTTGGATTGAATGTACAGGGGTGAACGTCCACTCTATGAGAGAGGTCGCATCTTGCCTAGGGTGCGAATGGACAAAGCAGAGCAGAGGGGGCCACCGGGGACTCTGAACCTCTCAATGGGTGTCTTCACTCCCTCTTCCCTCTTCACAGAACATTCATCCCAGCTTTCACAAGGTCTTTGGCTCTGCACCTGGGAAACTGGGGCTTAAGCATAGGCCCTCTACTGCTAAAGCCCATGTAGTTTAGCATTATCTTATGATGAAATACAAACAAGTAAAGGACAGTGACAGGAAAGTTTAACTTCTAGGTGGCCCATTGAACTCGAGTATAAAAAGGGTTATTTGCAGCAGTCATTTGTCAAGATAAGTCAGAGCTTTAGAGGACTAATTTTAATTCAAGGAGTATTTCAGAAGTTTCTTTCTACATAATCCATATATCTATATCTATCTATATCTATATATCTATATCTATCTACCTATATCTATATCTATCTATCTATCTATAACTATATCTATCTATCTATCTATCTATCTATATATATATATATATATATAGAGAGAGAGAGAGAGAGAGAGTTAAAGTTAAAGAGGAAAAAGGTTTATTTATTTTAACTCTTGTAAACCATATAAAAATGTTACATATTAAGGCTCAGAGTTACAAAATAATTAAATTGAAGACTGGAGGGACACGAAATCAAGACTTTTAGCAGCAACATTTTGTTCTGTATTTGCTTTTGTTTGCTCGTTTACTGTATTTTCCTGCTGTTCCATTTACTACCACTCAACCCCAGCACACTGACAGTGGGTCGGTACCTGGCTCTGGGCTTCTTTAAAGTCCTGCCTGGGGACTGTGGGCTATTTTCCTTCCAGCGTCAAGGTCGGGTGCTCCTGGGTTTTCTCTGAGTATTTTTGAGGGAACACTATCATGTAACATTTGGGACGAGAAAAAAACCATTATAGTATGTATTCTGTTGAATTTCCTTTCCTGTGTGGGCCTATTTAAATATGTCCCCGAAGAGCAAACAATTCAATTAATTTTCAATTATGCATACTCACCTACCTTTTTGAATACACTGGATAAATTTTAATGTATTCGTGGGAGAAACACCACTAGGTTTTAAATAAGTGTGATAATTAGGGAAGTCTTCGTTTTTTATTTTTAAACTATTCACTAGAGGTAATTGTAACTAATCACTTGAAGAAAAATAATTGGTAGCACCTCCCCCACCTAACTATACCTTCATCACTTTAGAGTTAAAATTGGGTTTTATGTCTACATAAAACTGTACTTAATATTTCAGACATTCCAGAAAGCTTTGATATTGACGCAATTTTTTTCACTGCAGTCTAACCTTCAATTAAATGTAGTTGACCCGTATGATTTGGGCGCCTGTTTGTCCAGCAGGTATTAGATGTCTATCGAATCAAAGTGGACTGAACCAACACGTAGAAATTACGGACAAGATTTTTACCAGGCCCTAGAAATTCTCACAATGACGCTCCTAGTGACGTCAGTTTATTAGCACGATATTTGGTTAAGAGGAAAAGCATCGGAATAAGGGGGAGGGGCCCACGGCGGCGGCAGAGGAGCCGCCCAGCCTCCTCCTTCCGAGGCCCGCGCTCTCCGGAGCAGCAGGTTCCTACATGTGCTAGGCAGAGCGGGGCACCCGCGACGCCTGGGCGTTCCCAGCCGGCACTGCTGGCTGTTGGCAGTCTGCAAACACCTGGCTTGGTGCTAGGGGGCCTTAGAGACCTCTGCCTGTGACCAGTCGCTGGGAGCTCCGGCAGCGGGCTCTACGCGGTCGCGAGGGTTTCCTGTGTGTCAGCAACTTCACTCAAGGAGATAGCTGGCTGGAGAGCGAAAGTGCGCGCGGGCCAGTCGCTCCCTGGCAGCCGCCGCCGGCCAAGCGCACCCTTTGCCCTCGCCACTGCCCCGCGGCTGCCGGGGCCACACTGAGCGCAGCCCAGCACCGCGAAGCCTTGCTCCCCAGAAGACGCCTCGCCCCGGCGGCGCCCTCCGGGGCGCGGGCAGCGTGCCCAGCGAGCTCGGCGGAGCACGCCCCTCGCCTCCGGAGCCGCGCGGACTCGCACGGGCGCCCAGGCTCCGCCCACCCCGCCCGGACCGGCCCGGCCCCGGCCACCAGCACTCGGGACTGAGCCAGGTCTCCTGGAGCGCTTCGCCTGCACGGACCGAGCACCGGAGGCAACCTAGAAGCACTCGGGCTGCGACCCTGCGCGCTCCGATGGCCCTCGGGGGGTGAGCGCAGGAGGCGAGGGAAGCCCGGAAGAAGCGACTAGCAGGTAGGAGAAGGAAGATGCCCCCACAAAGTTGATCTTGGGGAGAAGGAGGGTGGGCTGCGCCCCCTTCTCGCTGGACCGCAGCCGGGCCAGTGGGGCTTGATCTCACTGCGCACCGGGCGTGCTCTGCAGCGCGGACCCGCGGACCCTTGGGAAAGCGCAGTTGGAAAGTTGTCGGTGCCCTGTGCGCCCTGTTGTGTAACCCTGCGCCGCCTGCCAGACGGGGAAGTTGCCGGCCGGCCCGCCTGCCTGCTTCGATCACGGATGGGAGCGGATTTCATGGCCCGAGGCGAACGCGCGCCCGGAGCCGGCCAGTGCGAGCCCCCGCGCGCCCCCTTCCGCGGGGACACCCCGCGCCCGAGCCCTTCCTCCAGCAGGCTTTTCCGATGCTCGCTGCGCACAGTGCCAGTGCCGCCCTCTCGCCCCTTCGTGCCCTTCGTACCTGCTGCCTAAGTCGGGGAGGAGAGAATGACCGAGGTGCAGTGGCCGGCTGTCCCCAACGGGACGGACGCTGCCTTCCTGGCCGGCCCGGGCGTGCACTGGGGAAACAGCACAGCCGCATCCACTGCCGCTGCTGCCGCCACCTTCAGATGTGCCCTGACCAAGACAGGCTTCCAGTTCTACTACCTGCCGGCCGTCTACATCTTGGTGTTCATCATTGGCTTTCTGGGCAACAGCGTGGCCATCTGGATGTTTGTTTTCCACATGAAGCCTTGGAGCGGCATCTCCGTGTACATGTTCAACTTGGCTCTGGCCGACTTCTTGTACGTGCTGACTCTCCCAGCACTCATCTTCTACTACTTCAATAAGACAGACTGGATCTTCGGGGATGCCATGTGCAAACTGCAGAGGTTCATCTTCCACGTGAACCTGTATGGCAGTATCTTATTCCTGACGTGCATCAGCGCACACAGGTACAGCGGCGTAGTGTACCCACTGAAGTCCCTGGGCAGGCTCAAAAAGAAGAACGCCATCTATATCAGCGTGCTGGTGTGGCTGATCGTGGTGGTGGCAATCTCCCCCATCCTGTTCTACTCTGGTACCGGAGTCCGGAAAAACAAAACCATCACCTGCTATGACACCACCACAGATGAGTATCTAAGAAGTTATTTCATCTACAGCATGTGCACCACCGTGACCATGTTCTGTGTCCCCTTGGTACTGATTCTGGGCTGTTACGGATTAATTGTGAGAGCTTTGATTTACAAAGACCTGGACAACTCCCCTCTTAGGAGGAAATCCATTTATCTGGTGATTATTGTACTGACTGTTTTTGCTGTATCTTATATCCCTTTCCATGTGATGAAAACGATGAATTTGAGAGCCCGGCTTGATTTTCAGACCCCAGAAATGTGTGCTTTCAATGATAGAGTGTATGCTACTTACCAGGTGACAAGAGGTCTAGCAAGTCTCAACAGCTGTGTGGACCCCATTCTGTATTTCTTGGCTGGTGATACTTTTAGAAGGAGACTCTCCCGAGCAACCAGAAAAGCTTCCAGAAGAAGTGAGGCAAATTTGCAATCCAAGAGTGAAGACATGACCCTCAATATTCTATCTGAGTTCAAGCAAAATGGAGACACAAGCTTGTGAAGGGACAAGAACCCCCACACACCTCCCTTTGTAACATGGTAGGATGCTTAACAGGGCCCAGTACTTTTTGCCCCTCTAAGTTTCTAGTAGGGATATAAAAATCAAAATGCAAAAGAAGTGAATTAAAAAATACAGAAGCAAATGTGCCCACATCCACACGTGGCTATTTCAGTTTGTCTTCAGTCTCCCTTCTGGTTGACTACAAGTATATCTAGTAAAACAAACCCACATAGTTAAACATTTACTTTTCCGCTGCCTATAAAATTTACAAGCTTTTGTAAAGTGTGTGCACATGGGTACAGGAACTATTTTAGTATTGATAATTTCTCAAAAAGTGAGACAAGAATTCAAAAAACTTGAATTATTTTTTTATATTTCCAGGCCTTATCAATTTTAATGAAGCATGGCATGAGCAAACTGGAAATCCAAATTCTTAAAATATTTAGTACTGGCTCTCCAAGTTCATTCAATAAAGAATGAACAGATCTCTAAGATAGATGTCTTTTTCAGTTCCTTGCAAGCATAAATGGTAGCTGGCTGCATTTCTTTAGGGAACTGAGTAGAAAAGTAAAGTCAATGAACTTAAAAGCCTGAAAATAATAATTTTCCAGTTATTTCTGGAAAACCTCGCACTGCACATTGGGTGCCAAATGTTGATGGTGGAAGCCTGCATACAGAACCTTACTGGAAGATGCAGTGTAGGTGTCATAGTGCATCTACTTTCATTGTATATACTATGAAGCTGTTAGACTTCCTGAGATCAAGAGCATGTACTTGTACTACTGTCATACAACACGAGGACTTTGTGCTCCAAGACAAGGACTCACATCTGTAAAAACAATTTCACAAAACTCACAGTTAAGTTATAGACTAGAGTGAGAGTGAAGTTGAATAATAGTTCCCAAATTGAGGGCTGTGGGTCAAGAGAACAGCAGTTTCAGAAGGGGTGTGGTTGGCAGTCATCCACAGAGTACAGCCTACAATATAGTAATCTCAAATATATGAGGCAACTGGAGGTGGATAGAAGCCTTTGGAATAATGTCT